GGATTAGGACTTACACACGTGATCAACGAGATTCGTACTCAAGACACGTGATAATTTGGTGTCAGAATTTTTACGAACTTAAACACGCCTGACAAATAATTGAATTATTGTGCATCGTGTACTCTACTGCGACAAGATGGAGATGCAGCAGATGATGGAAATGCTGGTGAGGATGGACGCCGATAGGAAGAAAGAGAAGGAAAGTAGGACGTTGATTACGGTTACGTTAGCGTTGCGCGTTACGTCACCGCGTGACGTCACCGCGGAGGGGAGTGGCGGGGAGCGCTACGTTACCGTGGAGAGGAGGGTGGAGGGGGGTTCTCAGTCGCGCAACATGTTACACTATATTTTTATAAAGGTAAAAAGGTAAAGCTATCTCTGTCACAGACCGTGGAGGCCCATAGGGATGTGAGACGTCGAGGTTCCCACATTTTCGAGAATATCGACTCACAGATGGCGGTATGGTTTCTCAGGCTTACGGGCCGGCCGGCAGCCCTTTACCCTCAAGAAAATTCCTGGTACACATTTCTGTTAGAGGCTGAGTTGATCCCAGGACCACAGTGTGGTTGGAAGGATTAGGTCAATTGAAAAATCTAATGAAACCGGAAATAGAATCCACGACCTTCCGGCGTGTAGCATAGTGCCTCAAGCAACTAAGTTACCACCTGCCTCAGACATACTAAAATACCAAATTCATAAAATCATGATAATCTTCGCATTAATGATAAACATATTGAAACGCATTTGATCAACGCGTTGCCAGACAACAGCTGTGTGAACATGGTCCAAGAGGCAACAATAGATGAGGTTGTGTTTTCTATGTCGCCTGCGCCACGCCCAGTGCTAGTAACGAACCAATGAACTCGTAGACTGACACGTGACACATGTCCTTTGTGTGGTCTGCGCCATGCCAAAATAGAGGAGTTGTGTTTTCTGTGCGTTGTCCGTGCGGAGAGGATACGAGAGAATACTGGATTTGAGTTCCGAAGTTCCAAAGGAACGGCAGTGTGGCCAGAAGAAGAATTACTCGTAGAAGAATTATTGTGCGGCGTTACACGTGCTGTAGTACATCGATATTGAAAGTGTGTAATTTAGGGAGACTGTTATAGTTCGTGTGTAAATAAATCCATTGCCAGGAAACGGACAGTGAAGACTACTCGAAATAGACTGAGAATATTAGTGTAGAGTGATTGTAGATTGTGTAAATTCGCAATAGTGTAATGTATCCGTACGTCCCTCGTCAAAATTATATAATTAAGGGTATGAACTGCTTATACACTGTTTAATACCGTGAGAGACGCTCCATCGGCGAGATACCATCCCGGGACCGTCTAGATGTAATTCCGCTATTGTCCTCCTTAGGCTAAGGGTGCCGCTATTGTCCCTATCGTCACCTGTTTACTCCCAGTATATCATAAACCCATGAACTGACCGCGTGCGAGACCGGCCAGGAGGGGTCTTGGATTCCTTGAAGACCTACAGAGGTTTATGGGCATCTCGAAAAATAGGAATGTAGGGCAGATGTCGGGCTCGACCCTTGGTTTTCTCTTGTTATTTTCTTGTTTCGTTTTATGCCCACTGGGGGACTTGTAAAGATGGGGAGTCGGCTATAGGGAGCAGAGGAGGACAGTAGTTGGAAGGTAGTTAGAGAAGAGAGAAGTGTTTAAGAGTAGTGGTAGCTAGTCGGCGGACGGAGCGGCTAGCTTGGAGAATAATGTAAATATTCATCATTAATGAAATTTTAAATTAAAACTGCAATCCACGGTGTGTTCTGGAGCCCCCCCCCCGGATTCATAAACCCCGAAGTGTGTTCCACTCCCATCCCCGAAGCACCCGTATCCTGTGATTAAGAACTCAAGCTCGAACGACAGTCGTGGAAGCTGTACGTCGGCGGACGGCTACAGTAATAATTATATCCTGTTAAGACCTGTAGGTTGCTATTAATTCCAATTACCAATCCGAACCCTGTCATTAGTCACTAATACACGTAATAATATATTATATATTACAGAACATGGGCACCGCACAATGAAAATAAGGCGGAGGGAAGAGAGAGTATCAGTAACAGAGAAACACATTTTGGTACGTACCGACGGTGTGCAATAGCACTGACATGCGCACTGGAGAAGTGAGACACTTTCAATTGGCGAACAATTGCCTGAAGTAGGCCTTGCATAGCCGAAACATGTTGCGATTAAATGCGAATTTAATGATGTTTTAAAGTAAATGACGGACTGTGAACTGTTTGTATGGCATTAGAAACGGAAAAACTGAAACAGGCCTACGTAAATGAGAAATGGGCCCGAGTACAAATATTTGTTTCGACAGACTGAAGGGAAGCGACAACTTGGCATACCTGGACTTGGATGAAGGGATACGTTACGATGGACTCGGTGAAACAGGAGGTGAAAACCTTGACTTGTTTCTGCTGGCTTAGGATATGGCTGACCAGGACCACTGTCAGTAATCCAGAAGCACTCAGCTCCAATTACTTACTTACTTACACCTTCGTTCATACTGAACCATCAAGTTGACAATCTTTCTACTTTCCCGTGCCTTCATTAAGAATCAGTCAGTCCTCTTCAAATCACATATCTGAAGAAGATTGTGTAACTCCTAAAGGACACAGATACCTCTCGACATGATACTGCATATGTTCGTCTTTCTGCCCTGTCATCACGCTGTTTAAAATTGCTGTTGCCTCACATCAGCGACTCAGACTCGCCACAGCAGAGGAGCTGGACTGTCCATTTGAAGAGCTACTGTTCGTCTCTGAGGGTAAGAGACTATCAACAATCGCAGTTTCTGTACTCTTTAATGATTTTAAATGATTCATTCGTCTGAATTTCTAGTTAATCGAAGGAGTTTACGGCAGCTAGACACTGAGATCCGATAGGGAAAGTTGCTACTGGAATGACCAAGAAGTAGATAGGTAAATAATGTTAAATTACACGAGAAGGGTGTCTATTTCGGGGAAGTCAACTGGATTGAACTCGTTCAGAATTGTTTCCTTGGCGGCAGTTGGTATGACCGGTGTTGAATCTTCAGCATCTATTGGAATGTTGGCAGCCATTACTTATTTCAGATTATAAACATCTGACAGCTTAAACTTTCAGAACGGTAGCAGACAAACTGTGTTCTTTACCGTGGGAAAATAATGGATCGTAATCCTTCATAAATTTGTCTAGTTTCAGAGTAAGTTGTGAACGAAGAAGCGAAGTTATCTCAACAATGGAGCGTTGGTCAGGTCGTGTTGCCGTAGTAACAGGAGCCAGTGCTGGGATAGGAGAAGCCATCGCTGAAGAACTCGTGAAGAAAGGACTCAAAGTGGTCGGACTTGCGCGCAGAGTGGAGAAGGTTCAGGTAAGATGAGGCAACCATATAACATGACATTAGTAAATCCCATTCTCAGAAGTTTTCCCGAAAGAACTCAACGGCAGGCTACGAATAAGACGTCAACGAGGGTCTGTGATGTGGAATGTTATCAACACTTCCGATACGCCTTCAGAATATTTAAATTTAGATTCCAATCGCTATTAAAACTGTCGCGTGTAGACCCGTTTCTAAGTAATCACTCAGTAAACAACGTCCGCTGCTAGGCAACAGATTCCTAACAAACAAGAATTGAAATAAGATGTTGAGCGGTGTTTTCGAGGCGGTCCATGCCGGGGTGTTATAGACAGGACAGGTCTACAATTTACTGTGAGATAGCCGCCAGCTTAGGAATGAGTGCTGTGAGTGAAGCAAGTCGGGTCACAAGTGAGTGAGTGAGTGAGTGAGTGAGTGAGTTAGTTAGAGATCTGCTGCAGTTAGGTCGCTGTGAGCTGTTGCTGTTAGAAGCTGCTAGCTGAGGAACGGGGATAATTCCCGAAACAAGAGTAAGGGGAATGTCCGCCGTTGAAAGTCGTTACGAGGCAACGACTGGTGAGGAGAAAGAAGACTGAAAAGACTTGGTGCGTGCTGCAGTGAACTGCAGATTGTGTAAAATAGCGACTGCGATATAGTTACGTGTTTTTATGATCTGCAGTTGTGCAATAAATACTATTACCAATTCAAACCCCGTCTATAGTCTTTCTAACACATGATAATATTAAAATTACGATCCTCTGGGCTGTGAAGACCAACTATACGGCGTCACACCAGAGAAGACCATAATCACAATACTGATGTTTATTTATATGTCCATGCATTTGCAGGCTTTGGAAAAGTCACTCAAATCGGAGAAGGGAAAGTTATACGCAATAAAGTGTGACGTCAGCAAAGAGCCGGAGGTAACGGAAGCCTTCAAGTGGATCAAGCACAACCTTGGGGGAGTGGACATCCTCATCAACAACGCAGGAGTTGCATCCTTCAACAGTCTCAGCGGTACAGTATAGGCCTATATGCATGTGCCTCTCCTACAGTAAATTGGCGTGAATAAATCATAAAAGGAGCTATGAAATGTACACATCGTGTTCATCAAACTGAACAACCATTGCACTTCTAGGAAGGATTCTCTGCAGCAGGTTATCGTGCGGTTCTACCGCCACAAGGCAAGTGGTATGATGGTCATACTGAAACTAATTATTGTTATGGTAAATTTAAATACTACTTCGAAGGCTTCGTTAACAGACTTTATTGACTGGCAGTTATGTTGCACAGTCTGTTACGGTTTGTAGCAATAATGGAGCAGACTGCTGCAGTAACTGAATAGAATACCACATTTGACGGGGCACGCGGAAGCGTAGTTGGTTCAGGCACTATGCTACAAGCCTGAAAGCCGTGGGTTCGATCCCCGATTGAGTCATTCGATTTATCAATGGATCTAACACTTCCAGCCGTAATATGCCCCTGGAGTACACTGTAGGAGAAATGAGTAGCAGAAAGCTTTCTGGGGATAAACGGCGGCCGGAGCGTAGGGCTGGCCTCACAGCCATCTGTAAGCCTCCTGTTTAGAAAATTTTGGAGCCTCGCAGTTTCACAACCGTATGGAACTCCACGGCTTTTAGATATTAAATTTAGATGAATTATGAGGCTTCAGTATAAGTCCCACAAATCGGCCTTAATGTGGCATGGTTTGTCTTCTGGATAAAATGGAAACAAATAAGGCAAACAGACTTGGGAATAACCAAACTTTGGAAATTTTACCGGTCACCTAGTATAGAAATGGTTATGAATTTTACTGAGGATCTGGGAATGTGGCTTGAAAGCAGCCATGAAATGGATATAAAAGTGTGGAGGGGAAAATTCTTGGAGGAACGTGCACTTGAAGCAAGTATTATGAAGTGGATGAGACGATAACATTGAGACGGATCTTACGAATGTATCCTCTGTGTGACTGGAGGCAAGATGGAATTGACTATGGACAATGTTTTGTAGTGGACCTTGGTGTCAGCGGTGTCCAACCTGCGGGCCCTTCTATCACTGTATTAGTTTATTTAACTGCACCCCATTTTGTGTATTCAACAGATGGACCGGTGGAGAACTGGAGAAAGATTTTCGATTTGAACGTGCTGGGTCTCAGCGTGTGCACCAAAGAAGCGCTCCAGTCCATGAAGGAGAGAGGAGTGGACGATGGACATATCATACATATCAACAGGTGCGTCAACGGGTCGGTTGTAATTAATGTATAAAGACAAAGTTCCATGTACTCGTAGAATGCTGCTTAAAGTTTTATTGGGAAATTGGAGAAGTGAACGCAACACTCGTCGTTTGAAGATGCGTTTAGGAAATATTAAAAAGATAATGAAGTAACTCATAACACAAAATATACACTGAGCATACAAAAGTAGACAGAACAGTGTCGGTATAATGTAGAAGTAATTAAGAAACATTCTATTGGTTTCTGAACACCTGCAATTCTGTCGGTAGCGACAAAATTCATACCTCACCATGTATGGCTTCATGGAGGAGACGCATTTCGGAGTTGTATGGTTACAATTTTCGAACATCTAACATAATTCAAATAAAAAACTACTCTGTGAAATGTGTATTAATCTTGGTCGTCAACACAACAAAATTTTCAGACAAACCTTTCTAATATCACTGTACTAACACTGATTTTATTTTAATGTGTGCTATGTGTTTCGATCCACGTTTGGATTATCATCAGTCAGACTCCTAAATACGCCTATTATTACTGAGTTGTCCTAATATCGCTCGATATTAGTATTATTTTTTTTAATCCGTTGAGTTCTATGTCTCTTCATAACATTTGTTCTGATATTATTGCTAAACTTTAAGGCAAAAATTATTTAAATTAATATTTATGCCTCGCAGATACGATGTGGGTTCCCGTGATGCTTGTCTTATATTAGAGGGTGATAATGAAGTGAATCTCTCGATGGAAAGGACGAAAAGTGATGAAGTCATTAACGGAAAAATTGTTCGTAGGTGGTTTGCTTAACCTGTATGCGATTTAAGGAGTGATAATTTTAGTGATTTCTTGAGAATATTATTTGTAACATTATTTTGATAAGATCAAATCCTTTACTTCGCACAAAATAGCGTTGCTGGGCACAAGGACCCCACCTTCGTAGGCATACAGATGTACTGTGCCTCCAAACACGCGGTCACAGCGCTGACAGAGGGACTCCGACGGGAACTTGTCCAGCAAAAGTCTAAAATCCGTGTTACTGTGAGTATAGTATGACTTACCTGTGTAATTTACATACACTGATATGTATCTATTACATTCAACCAGTAGCTTTCAAGCCATTACGGGTTATCTTAAGTAACAATCGAATTGACTCATGAAATAAGTAAAAGATTGGGTTAAGAGCTGATTAAACACCAAGTACAAGAGTATTATATTCAGGGATATAACGGCGTGTAATTCTTTGAAATTCAATCGACGTTTCGGTTGTTGTGCTCACCACCTGCTTTCACGCTGGTTTCTTGCTTAGTTTATTCTCCGACCCTGAAGATCGAGGCGATATGTTCCTCCGAAACATCGGTTTACTTTCAACTGACTTCAAGGAGTTATATCCCAGAAAAAATTACCCTATGCAAACTTGGAAACTATATAAATGGTCTCTCCTTGAGAGGTTTTCTCGACCCAGTTGTGAACACCTTTACGCGACAAATACTTCCCGTCGAAAACAGGAAACATTTCTTTATTAATATCCTCTGTATAGAGTCCATTGGCCATAAAAATCGCACAAAGTAAATCAGATTTTCGGTAGTATACCCCCTTAAGCATCGTCGCAATTTATCTATTTAAACCAGCCTGTGATCATGCGCATGCGTGTGCTAACTGAACTGTCATGAAGGTGGACTGTGCTGCTATCTAGTGATACACACAGAGAACTTATTACTTCCATTACAGCTGTTTTACATCCTTTTGTAGAATATTTACTGACACTCCCTTGTAATAGTATTTATTTCTCTATAACGTGATGTACTTCTGTGATAAAGAGAAACACGAATACTATTATGAAAAACCTAGGCCAGTATATCCGTACCGCATGCGGATCAAGTACTCTTGTGTCTTTAAGTGGCAACAAATCAAATTCTGTGAATCTGCATTGAGGGTACAAACGAGGAATGGTTTAGTAAGATGATTGTTGGGTTCTGTGAATTTTTCCAGAGTCTCAGCCCTGGCGCTGTAGAGACCGAAATACTAGAAGCATCTGAATTTTCAGAGGACTCGTTAAAAGGTTTCAAAGACATACCATTTCTAAAATCGAAGGACATTGCAGATTCCGTGATCTACGTACTTGGAACACCCCCACATGTGCAGGTGAGTACACAGTATTTCAATACGTAAACTGCGCCGTAAAAAACAAGCTTGTCAGTGCAGGTCCATGGCACAATCGTGGCATACATACCTGTGCATACAGTGTGTATACTGAAAAGTTATCCATGTAACTGCATTTAAGGAAACAAAAACAGAGAGAAGTTGGAATAGAATGGAACTAGTAAATAGATTCTCTGCTTTAAACCATGAATTACTCGTACTACTGAATGTAGAAGCAAGTGATATATATAATTACCAAGACATTACGAAGAATTAGACGATAATATAGTTATATAGTTAATATTAGTAACTGTTAATGCGTATGTGTAACATAGAAAAAAATACAGATTTACTCTGCATAATGTTCACAGTTCTTTTACCATCACTATTAGGCACGACCTGTCGAGTAACTGAGGTTCTATCAAATTTATAACGGGGAAAAAAGATGTAACATACAAATTCACTCTCTCACAGTGTCTAGTATCAAAATAAAGCAATTTTTCTTATCTTTCAGATCCATGAATTGACCATAGAACCTGTTGGAGAACTCTTCTGAGGACAAGCATGAAGAGACATAAGATATTTTGAATGAATACCGATGCAAACTGACTCTCGTGCGTTGCTCTCTCATCAGCAAGCTTCTCCAGAGTCAGCAATGTTTCCGTGTCCGTAACAATAAAGCTACTTTACATAAGTAAATATACACTGCCTTAACTTCCTTGAAAATACCCACACCTACCCTTCATTATGCAGCGAAGCATGGACACAGACTGAAAAACATTTACATTGGAAAAGTTTCCTAATGCAGCTACAACAGCTACTGATCCAGTAAATGAAGACATAAAGACTTTGAGGTGCCATGCAGGTGAGATGGTTTTACCTGATGTACCAGGGAAATTTGCAGAAGGCCAACCCCTTACAGTAATATCGTACACGTTTGTAAAAATGAAAGTGTTCGAGTAAGTAAAGTGAAATGAAACACGCCGTGTATATAGCAACGGTAAGTTGCACATCTGCTGCGCCTTTATGGAACTTCTCGTATTGCGTTTGTTGGTTATTTATAGAATTCACATAGGAAGCGATTTGAAAGGCACAACAGATCACTGTGGTCGCGGTGCAAGGGCCAAGAAGGCCCACCCCTTATACATTCACAATGAAGCAGATACCGTAAAACATTAAGCTGCACTCAAAAGAAGTAGAGTAAGTACAGCTATCCCTGTAACAGGCCATGAAGGCCCATAGGGTTGTGAGACGTTGAGGCTCCCAAATTATCTTGACAATCGGCTCAAAGATGGCGGGAAGGTTGTCAGCATTACGCGCAACCCGCGCTTTACTCTCTAGGAAAATTATTTACTTAATTCCTGGTACTGTGAGACGCTGAGTGAACCCCAGGGCCACCATAGTGCGGCCGGAAAGATTAGGTCAATTGAAAAAATTCAATGTCCTCATCGGTATTTGAAGCCACGACCTTCTCACTTGTAGCATAGTGCCTCAACCACTACGCTACCGCTTTCCTCTTCTCCCACATTCGTGACACATGCTATACCAAACCAATCTTATCTTTCTAAGATTAATTTTAATATTGTCCACCAACCTACGTCTTGGTCTTCATAGTGGTCTCTTTCCTTTTGGCTATCCCACCAATATCCTACATGCATTCTTCTCCGCCCAGAATCTGGCTATATGTCCTGCCCATCGCATCCTCCTTGGTTTCGTCATTCTAATTATACTTGGAAAAGGGTACAAGTTATGAAGGTCCTCATTATTCACTTTTCTCCAGCCTCCCGTCACTTCATCTCTCTCTGGTCCACATATTCTCCTGAGCTCCCTGTTCTCAGACATCCTCAGTCTATGTTCTTCCCTTAATGTCACAGACCAAGTTTCACACCCATACAGGACCACAGGTATAACTATAGTTTCAGAACATTGAACTGTCAATTAACCCAGCCGGAGAAACATTCTAAGGGGATATAAGAAAATGGTGTCGTCATTTTGAATGAACAATCATGCAAAGCAGCAGTTAGCTAATGCCCTGTATTGAAAGAGCCTCTCCAGAATCAGCAAAAGTTTTCGTGTCATGTGATCGCAACGAGAAAATAAAGTCATATTAAAAGTTCTGCACGGCTTAACATTCTTTGCAATAAAGCCTCACCTTTGTTTAAAATAAACTTATGCTCAATTAAAAAGTGAAACGGGGTAAAGGACTTGAAAACATATCGAACACTCCAACGAAAAAGCTAAATTTGGAGAGCCAATGACCGTGAGAAGTTATTACTATTTAAACGACTTCTTTATTTTCGGAAAATATAACGAGGAGATGTTTTATCGCCACTGCGTTTCATCTTTGTTTTAGAATATGCCATTAGGAAGGTCCAGAAAGACCAGGTGGGACTGAAATTAAATAGGACGCATTAGCTGCTAGCCTGAGTTGATCACTAATCAGTGACTGAGGTTAGCTCTTCTAAAGGACCCAACAGGATAGATGTTTCTCCCCAAACCTAAGGACGTAAATAGATCCAGTTTCAGAAACGTTGTGCTTTCTAGTGTTTAGAATACCACACAACGGGCAGGGTCCGAAAACCCAGTAACTCTGAATGTTATACCTCGTCAAAACCTTTTAGAATCTAACTAGGTAAGGTTAGAGCTTTCTTCGCACTGTAAAACTGCTGTCAAATTCTATACACTTGTTGTGCTAAATTTTCATTGTCAATTAAACCCGTTCAGCGCATGCGCCTCTTACATAAAGTTGCGCAACTCCAGATGGTCACTGCTATCTCTACATGACATTCACTTATTCTCATGAAAACTCGAGTGATCTCACGCAGCGACAAAGTAGCACCACAGCAACGGGCCAGACCGCTCTCCCTGTCTGAGAGGTAAGAAATTTTTTCAATTGTCGGTGTTTTCTATCTTATTTCAGTAAAAGGGCTAATGGGGGGGGGGCAGAATGTCTGTTACAAGAGAATAAAGGGTTGTTGACGGAAGAACACCGCAGGATACGCAGCAAATATATGAGAAAATATAGAAACAATGTGATTATATTGAGGCTCTTTTTACGAGTCTACTCTATTTATTTTGGAAAAATTAAAGTAGGCTTATGCGATCACCGTGCTGCCTGCCTGTATGTGTGTCTGTGTATGCCACCTATCAACATTTGAATGACTAAACCAATTTTTATGTAACTTGTCATGTATATCATGGCACGCGAACCCATGTCAACGGAGTACGTCGTCTCACCAATCTGTATGTCTGTTTATGTGTGTATTGCACTATCGTTGCTAAGCAACGGCTCGGTAAAAACATTACCACGGCAAAGAATACACGCGAAAAAAATAAAATATTATCTCTTATATCTCTTATATCTGGTCCGCTATAACGAGGGACTACTACTGTATTAACACTGCCAGGCACACGGGGAAGGATGCAACTGGATAGTAGCCAAAGGTGTGATGGTTCGTACTTGATTCACCTGGGACGGAAGTAATGGCGCACAATATTATACAGTCTAAGCGAAAATAAATTTCTTGAAGAGCTTCTCAATAGAGACTCTGCTCCATTAAGTTAATCAGGAACACGTTACGTAAGGCGTATCATTTTGAAGGAAAGTAACTTGATGTTTCATTCTGTTTAATGTCTAGAACGTAAAATGGGGGATCATGTAAGACTTAGATATTTCATTCGTTCATTAATGGCTGTACAGCCCTTAGTTGGGCCTCTTCTTCAGTTTCGTAATCTTTTTTGCACAGATTGTAGCACTCCTTGGACGAGTAATCAGCCCGCCCCAAGGCCACTACCTACAAACAGGACAACGCATACACAAAATAAATTCGAACCCACGATCCAAGGGGAAGTAAAAAAAAAAACTATGATGTGCGGTGGAAGTGAGCTAGCTGTTGCTCGGTTGATGTCCAGGGAAATGTTTTAGAGGCGAAATTTTTTAGAAGACAAACCGCCTTAAAATTAATATCGTAACCGTTCTGTAAAAATGAAGTGTTCGAGTAAGTAAAGTGAAAGGAAACGCCGTGTATATAGCAACGGTAAGCAGCACATCTGCTGCACGTTAATCGGATATCTCGTTCTGGGTTTACTGATTATTTATAGTCTTAATAATCTTGATTTCTGAGGGTCACTCATTTGTGTGTGACAGTGAGTCAATAGGAGGTCATAAAAACGAGCATGATTATATAAGGTGATCACAACACCGAACTATCAATTCAGAAGATACAACGCCGATTAATTAGAACTACACACGAAGGGGGTGTAAGTATATAACAACAACATACAGGCAAAGGTAAAGGTAAGGCCGCGCCATATCTCAAGCTGTTAGTCGATGGATTCCCACCGTGGCGGCCCGGGTTCAATCCCGGGTCTGGTCAAGTGGGATTTGTGGTGGACAATGTGGCGCTAGGGCAGGTATTCTCCGAGTACTTTAGTTTCCCCTGCCTATCTTCGTTCCACCAACTGCTCCACAATCACACTCACCTCTCATCTGGGGCTGGTACAGGCCAGAAGTGACCGCAGTACAAGGGACTTAGTCCCAACTCACTAGTAATAAAAAAAAAGGTAAAGCTATCCCTGTAACAACCCGTGGAGGCCCATATGGTTCTGGGGCGAAGAGGCTCCAAAAATTCCTAGACAATTCACCCACACATGGCGGTGAGGTTTTCAGCCTTACGTGCCGACAGCTCTTTACACGCAGGAAGAACCCGAGTACTTATTTTTTTAGAGGATGAGGCGAACAAAGGGCCATAGTGCGGCTGGAAGGATTAGTTCAAATTAAAAATCTAATGACATCGAGAATCGAACGCGCTACCTTCCAGCTTATAGCAAATTGCGTCAACCTACTACGCTACTGCCTGGCCCAAGACATCCAAAAATAGTAAAGTAATAAATTCATGACACATCTTCGCACTAACAATAAACACATATTACACAACACAGAACTTGGACACCGCACAATGAAAATAACGCCGAGGGAAGAGAGAGTATCAGGCTCGAAACAAACACGTTTTGGTACGTACCGACAGTATGCAATAGCACGGGGTACACTGACACACGCACTGGTGCACTGCGGCAATTTCTGTTGGCGAACAATTGCCTGAAGATGGCCTCGTAAGACCGAAACATGTTGCGATTAAATGCGATGTTAATGACATTTTAAAGTAAATGACATGTGGACGGTTTGTGTTGCATTAGAAACTGAAAAAACTGAAAGAGGCTTACGTAAATGAGAAATGGCCCTCAGTACAAAAATCTGTTTCAATAGACTGAAGGGAAGCGAGTATTTGGCATACCTGGACTTGGATGAAGGGATACGTTACGATGGACTCAGTGAAACAGGAGGTGAAGACCTTGACATGCTTCTGCTGGCTTAGGATATGGCTGACCAGGGACACACTCAGTAATCCAGAAGCACTGAGTTCCAATGACTTAACTTGTTACTTAGTTACACCTCCGTCCATACTGAACCATCAAGTTCACAATCTTTCTACTTTCCTGTGCCTTAATTAAGAATCAATCAATCCCCTTCAAATCACATATCTGAAGAAGATTGTGTAACTTCCAAAGGCCACAGATACCTCTCGACATGATACTGCATTTGTTCGTCTTTCTGCCCTGTCATCTCGCTGTTTAAAATTGCCGTTGCCTCGCAAGAGTGGCACAGTCTCGCCACAGCAGAGGAGCCGAAGTGTCCACCTGAAG